AGCATTTGAAACTCCAAAGCTAAATTTCAAGTCTTCTTAGGCCATTCTCTTCTCAAGTCCCAAATACAATTACAACAACAATGGGTTTCCGTTTACCTGGTAGGAGAAGGGTGTCTTCAAAAGCAATGGATGCACCAAAAGGTTATCTTGCTGTCTACGTTGGAGCAAAAATGAAGCGGTTTGTGATCCCTATATCATACTTGAGCCAACCTTGGTTCCAAGACTTGTTGAGTCAAGCTGAGGAAGAATTTGGATATGATCATCCCATGGGTGGCCTCACAATTCCTTGCAGCGAAGATGTCTTCTTACATATAACTTCTTGCTTCAATGGACACTGAATCTTACACTATAACAGACTGACATAGATTAGTTGACACATTTTGTATACAATAGGCATCTTCTGAACTTGTAAAGATCTCCCTTTCTGGAGAAATAGGAAAAAGGAAGATCATTGATGTCATAGTACATCATTTTCTTTTGTCTTTAATGACAATGAATTCAACAACTTAATGCCACTCTGTGTTTTCTGTTTATTTCCCTTCTCCCTGTATGAGCCAGGTTGCTTGCTGTAAGAAAACCTAGAGTTTATTTTTTGTGATAAATTTTAAAGCAATAATAGAACTCGTGATTCCTAGCAAGGGTCAAGGAAAAAAAAATTCCCAAGCTCGAAGAGCTAAAGATAAGTTTATTTAGGAAAAAGCTAAAATATATTTGATTATATATATATATATATATATATATATATATATATATATATATATGAAATTTAAATTATGAAGTGCAAATAAACAATCACACGCAAGGCAGCTTCCCTGCCAAAGCAGGTGCAAAATAACGATAGACTTAATATTAAGGTTTATTTTTTTCCCCTGGATTACACTGGCCAACTTCTATACCAAAAGCTCTCTCTTTGACCATTGACATATGGTATGGTTTATTATCTATAACCTTACACATGTAGAAGTCAAAGAACCAATGCCTCTCCATAACTTTCTTGTCTTTTAGATAGAATGAAGCTATGACCTTACAATGCAAGAAGCATAGGTTTATAAATTTCAAGCCAAATTAAAAAATGTGTCCTTAAACTATAACAATAGTTCTAGTAGGTCTGTAGCAATTATGTCTAACTAATATTTGTTATAAGTTCTTATCCCAGAATATTTATAGAGCTGAGTGGATCGGGGTCTGTGTTTCTATTTACCATAACCGGCAATATTTTCTATTGCTGTTGTGAAATTATGGACAACACCAAAGTTATAATCCATATTTTGCTGCCCAAGAAACAAGTAATAATCGATGTGATGGTGCTGATTGTTTGTAAAAGTGGAAGAATAAATGAGAATGATTTTGAGTCGATGATAGAATGGGAGGGAGCACTAAATTAACTGATGATAATCACTATGTGATGCTTAAAGCAAGAACTGAATTGGTCACACATACGGAAGAATCTACAAACAATTGGCTAAAGATTTTTCCACACAACCATTATAAACCTTGAACAATATCCCCAAAAAAGTTACTGCACTGAATCCCTATTAAAAGTTGATAGCTTAATATAAATGTAAGCTAAAATTTAATTGAGATTTGGCAAAGGCTAAAAGTGCTTTAACGTTGTCTTGTCATAACTTTCTCATTCAGATGACATTTTTCCAACTAAAATGGAAAATCTTTAAAATGAAATAAATGCCTCCTGTACAAATTTGCCTCAGCTAATCTAGATCTCAGTGTTGATTAGAATGTTACAACCAATTCAAGCAAGAAATGAGGCTTAGAAACTTATCCTCCTTGCATGGAATTGTGAGACCACCCATTGGATGATAATATCCAAATTCTTCTTCTGCTAGACTTAATAATTCTTGAAATGAAGGTTGATTCAAGTATGATAGAGGAATTTGGAACCGCCTCATATTATCTCCAACATACACAAAAAGGTAACCTTTTGGGATTTCAAGTCCCTTGGAGGTTGAAGAAAATGATGCCCTTCTAATACCCAGTATGTGTAAACCCATTGTCTTTTGTTGCTCCACTCAAGATATAATATATTGATCTCAAAGGACTCGTACAAGAAAGAAATATTGGACTTGTTGTACTACAGCATGCAAATGACTTGTGTTGCTTGAGAACCTGAGAATTAGTGTAGTGTATATATAATTGCTAAGGTCCTCTGCATTCCATTTCCATAGTGAATGATTTTTTAGATAAGGTCTACTGAGAGACAAAAGATCACGTGGTATTGTCTTTAAGGATTTGATAGTTAATGGAAGTGCATACCCCAACTTTTAAGATAAGGGCCTACAGATTTGCTCCCTTGAAATCAAAGAAATGCTTGTGTATTCAATGTACTGTATTTCTCCAATAATAGACATTCTTTAGACATCTCACATGCTTGTGTATTCAATGTGTATGTGAACATGTTGATTCTTGAGAAAGTCATCTAAGAGAATACCCTGTGACCTCTTATATGTGCTCTCGTGTCTCAATAGGTACTTTGACTCTCATCTCATAGCCCTCCTCCATCAACCGTTCAATTAGCCAATGGTTTCTAACTTATCCTTTCATTTATATATATATTCATGGCTACAATCATTTGTGACTAACACAAAGTCACAAACCATTCATGCTAAAGCATTTGAAATTCTAAAACTTGCACACACACAGACACACATCAACGTGTTTTCCTAGTTACCGGGTATCAGCTTGGAGAGGAAACGAAGTGGTTGGTGATTCCCCATAACATGAACAAACCTTCATTACAAGTCTTGTTTAGCCAAGCTGAGGAAGAGTTTGGATATGATAAGCACAGCCATGTATAGTGTTTGCGAGGGCAGAGCCAGAGCATGAGTAAGTTTCTTAGGACCATAACCATATTTAGGACAAATTAAAATACATTTTTTGTATAGACCAAATAATACATATCTGAAATTAAGATTTTTGGGGAGCATTGACCCGACCTAAATCATTAGTTAAATTCCTTTCCTGCCTAGGTAGGCCCACAATAACTATGAATTTGGCGTCAAGGTGTTTGCACATTTAGAAGTTTTAGCTATATCTTAAATTTTCAAAAATTTAATGATCAGTGCTTTTTTAATTTCCAAATTTGAGTGTCACTTGCGTTGAAGATCAACTACAATCTCCATACAATCTTCTTAAGATATTGGTTATGCAATGATTAGCTTATTGGCCATAAAGTCTCTTTCTGAAGGGCAATCAAGTTGGCATGAATTCTCACGTTTTAAGTAATCCATGATCGGGACATCTTATTAGCCCTTGTCTCTCATTAGACCCCATCAACCATCAAATTAAATAGCACACCTACCATTCAGTTCACTAGACAATTGTTTCCACGTATATTTATCTATCTTTATGCATTCGTAATGCTAATGGCATTCTCAAACAATACATGTCGTATATGCTCTTTTCCTACCAAAAAACTATATATATATATATATATATATATAACATAAGGATGACAATGTACCCAATGGCAGGCTGGGCTTTCTGCTTTGCACCCGTTTAGCCCGTTTTAGCCTGCCAAAAATTAGCTCGTTTTGAACTCTGGACAGACTCCTTCAAGATCTATTTCATGATGGCTAAAAACTAAAACACAAGACAACTATGAATCAAGAGGCTCCAAAGCCTAAGTATAACACCTTGAACCTTAAGAGAAGCTCTCCTTGAAATCATTTATTAACTTAAGCATTATAATGTTTCTTACAAAAACACCCTTTCCTCCTCCCAGCCTCTCCTCCACATCAACAACTGAAGACATCCAGCGAAAGACTTCTCACTCTCATGCAAAAGTAAGAAAACAAAAATGTTAACAATTACTCTTTTAACATACTATTTGTAATACACTCTTAACTATACTAAAATTTATTAAAATATACAAAAGTACAAAAGGAAAAATAAATTTAAAAATAAAAAAGAATAAAAAGCATGTTTGATTACTATTTTGAAAACAGTTTTTTGTTTTTTAAAAATAAATTTTAATATAAATTAAAACAGTAATCACACATGTTCTAAGTCACTATATGTTAGTAATGTGAAAGAGTAAAACATAAACAAAGACAAAAGATAAAAAAAAAACTGAAGAAATTTTTAAAATTTAAGAGAATAAAATGTTTTAGACTTATTATTTCATAGACTAAATTGACAGTTTAGTAAAAATAATTAACTTTAAGGAGTCGGTTTAATTGGAAAACCAATGAATCAATCAAATTATCTAGGACAACATAAAAATTGAAGAAACAATAAGTAATAAACGAAAGTAAAATTAGATATAAAAAAAACAATAAAAATGGGTGGTAGAAAACTGGTTTAAGCCAATATTTTTTAGAAACGATTTTCTTTTCAAAACTAAATGAATGAATTCTTGCATACAAAGTCATCCGATTCGTTATTACTAAACCTGTTGTTATTGTTATTATTATTATTATTTTTATCTTTGTAGGATATATAATGACTTTGTTTAGTCAATTCAAAGGAGCAATTCTACATTTATGTGGGAGAAAATTGGAAAAAAAAAAAAAAAAAGAGGCGTAACAATGTCACATGACATGATTGCATCGCATGAAAGGCCACCAGTCACATTTTTTAAATTGAAACTAAAAGGGTATTTAAATAATTAAATAGACAGACGATACAGAATATTACATGCAGTTATCAAATGATTACTTGGATGGTTTATTTTAAACAAAAGGCTGTCAATCCAGCTATTCAACTCAGTTTGGGCAAGTGCTTAAAATAGAACCAGTAAAAATGATTCTGATATAATTTATGAAATTTTGGTGCGTTTAAGCTAATGTTAAATTGCATCACTCAAATGGCAAATTCATGTAAACCTGTGATAGCAAGATATGGGTGAATACGGCCTAACTTCCCAATGGAAGCATATAACAATCATTTCATATATGCATTACCAAATTTATGAGTATCAGCAGGCCATAAACTAGCATTTGCCCACGGCTTTTTGAAAGCATAAAATTATCGACAACGTAGAAGCCTTAAGGTGATTGATATTTCAATTAAATCAAATTGTCATCAAGATATGTACTGAAGGTTCAAAAACATAACCCCAAAATTTCTAGGGAAGTTCCTGCTATTTCAGCCTTGACAGTAAACAGTCACATTAAGACACGTGAAACCCGTATTTCAGCAAAAAAGATTTCCCACTAACAATAGCTGAGTTCACTCAGAAACAAATTATGCACAATCATAAGTTAGTTATTTTCGCTTTGACTTTTTCGAGGACCTACGGCTTTCCAGCTTTCTCTGTGCTGCTTCAAATTCCTCTTCAGAGGGTTCTGGCATTTGACCTCCACCATACTTTGAAACTAGAGATGAGAACATAGAATCAAACCGGCCTTTCCTTTCATCTCGACGTTGTGACATGATAGCATACAAATCTGTTTCTGATTGCTTACTCGATGATCTATAGAAGATTTAAACATGAGTATTTCCAAATTACAGTGCAAATAAATAACATAAACCAAACCCTACTGATAAACTTACTTTGCCCTCCTTCTTAAGGGACTAGTTGGTGGCTTGGTTTCTGATATTTTCTTTCCCCATTTCTTGTAGGCTTTTGTTTCCTTTAGTTCTCCTACAGATATGGAGCAGAGAGGAAAGCAGCATTAAGGAAATTACCAAACCCAATTAAAATATTTGCCTATATTAACATGCTGAATCTCTGCTAAAAGTAAAAATAACTGCATGATCTCCTATTATCATATGGACTTAGAGACACATTCAAATTTCTATATATCACTTTTCTAATAGTGAAACTTACATCTACATCAAATGTGTGATTGAAATTTGGCCCAACAATAACTCGCAATATTCTTACCAGCAGCTATAGCCTCATCAAGAATATCCTTGAATCGGTGTGAGTCGAGTTTAGGATCTGAGCAAAGCATTGAACAGAATAGCCTGCAAAGGGAAGTTATTCCAGATATCAAGCTGAAATCCTTTACTGAAAAAATGGCTCTGGCTCATTACAATGTTTTTACCTGTTCATATTACCCTTGCACTTATTGTACAGATCAATCAAATCATTTTTCTCAGAGTCAGATCCCCTATAGTTTGCTTCAAACTCCTCAATGTCAGCTTCTGTGACCTTTAGCATATATTACAATTACTATACTAAATAAACGGAAATAAGTATATTACAGCATAAGAAAAAAAGGGATCACATATTATACCTTCTTGTACATTGTTCTGAAAAATTCTTTAAGATTCTGAACAACATCTCCTGCAAGGACCTGGTTTTCAGAAAAAAAATATAGATAAATAAGTTGTGGATGTCCAGGACAATGCTAATCTTTCATTCCGTATATCAGCAGAACTATTTCCTCCAATATCAGTTAATAGACCATTTAGATTAACTGTGTATCTGGATATTGTGAATTACAGACCCATTATATTATGACTTCATTAGTTTATTTACTTCTTTCAAATACTTCAACACACTTACAGCATCATCAACACAACCAGTCTGATCATAAACAGCCCGTTTTTCTTCGTCCCCAAGAATTGAGATGACATTTTGCAATTGCTGAAACCTCGCTTTAGCTTCCTGTAAGGGATGATCAATTACAATCACAAAGACCTAACATTTTGAAAAATCAATTACAGTACAACAGGAATTACTAAACAAAACACCTCATCACCGGGGTTCTTATCAGGATGCAGCCTCAATGCCAACTTGTAGTATGCCTTCTTTATTTCCTGCTGAGATGCTGTTTTCTCCACGCCAAGAACCTAAGAGCAATCAAGCAATGAGTCATAGTCCAAAACTTCCTTGTTAATACATCGCCATGTAGAACCAAGAGTAGAACTTTAATTAGACAACCACCTATAAGCTTCAGCTAGCCAAAAGTACAAGATGCATTGGAAATATTGATTTCTCATTTTGAAAAGTAATAACTAAAGAGGTATCTCTAGTAATTCTTTTAGGCTTTGTTTGAGAGTTAATTTTAAGGAGAGAAAGAAGGGAAGAGAAAGGATTGTTTGACGATACCACTTGTTTGAAAGATTTTAAATGTGACGAGAGGGTGGGTTTGGAAGTTTTTATAAACCCTCAAAAATCTCTATAAAGTCGTGTATTTAAGTTACCCAAATTAGAAAATCTTTTAATAACCCTCTTCTCCTCTTATCTCTAGCTCCTCAAACCTTTTTCCTTTTTTTCCCTCTATATTCCCAAACAAAGTTTTAGAATTGTTCGAGAAGGAAGGTTTAGAGGAGAGGAAAGGAGAGGACAAAACTTGTATTTTAAATAAATATATTTTAATTTGATAAAATTTCAAATTAAATATATAAAATAATTGATCAGCATGAATATAATGTACTAATTATTTAATTACTATAATAAATAATATTAATTCTAATAATTTAAAAATAAAAAATTTATCAACCCTTGCAAAACTACATCCATTCACACGAAATATGAGTAACACAAAGAAAAACTCTCCTCAAACCTACATAATACTCCACCAAAAGGCAGAGTAACGCAAGGGTAAGAATCGAAACATACAACGAAACTCACTACTGCCTACATAAACTGAATTTCACTTACACATAAAAAACTATCCCAAATAAAACGCGATTTTGTAGCAGGATGACGGAGATAAATTCCGAAGCAGGTACAAATTGAAATTAAAGGGAAACGCAATTGAAAGATTGAATAGCGTAAGGGACCTGATAGAGAGAGTTTTCATCGTGATTGGGAGGGTTGAGATCAGATCCAATTTCCTCATCTTCGCAAACCCTACTTCTCTTCTTCCCCATTTTCTCTTAGTTTGCTTGGTGCTACTCAATGTTTTATTTAAATTAATTTCATGTTTATATTTATATATTACAAGTTTACAACACATAAATGTAAACGAAAAATAATTTAAAAAAAAAAAAAGATTTGGCGCTCGTCATTTTGTTCCCGCCATTCCCTTATGTGGTCAGTCTTTTTCCCGCCGTCATATTTCTACCTTTTCATTGATGAAATAGTTTTAAAAAAATGTTAAATTTGGTTTAACAATTATTTTGTTTTTAAGAATTACTATAAAATATAAATAATTAATTATCAAAATTAAAAATATTAATTAAATATATTTTTTTTCAAATTAATGACTTACATTTTATATTCATAAAATTAATGAAAAAACAATCGTGCAATCGGTAAGAAAAAATTATTAAAATAAAGAGAAAATTGTATTTAAGTTGGCAACAAAAAATATACCAATAAATGAGAAAAATATTTAAATGAGAAAAAAAATACTAAAACGTAAAACAATGAAAGAAAACACCATTCAAACAAATAAAGAATCAGCAAAAAAAATCATTTAAATATTAAAAGCAATCATGCAAATGAAAAGAAAAATTAAATAGAAAAGACATTCACATAAATAGAAAAGCGCTCTGTGAAATGGGTAAGTAAATGAGGTAAACTGACAAAATAATAATGGTTAAAAGTAGTGAGAAAACCATAAAAATAGGCAGAAAATGATGTAAACAGGATCGGAGAAACAACTTAAATTGGCACTAAGATAGCTGAAAATATGAAAGTAAACAGGAAAAAAGATTATAGAATAATGTCTCAAATATAATATTTGTAGAAAACACTAAATATTTATAATGATTTATATAAATAATAAAAAAATTGTTATTATTTTGAAGCATTTTATTTCGTAGACATCAATATTTATGATTATATTGTATCAAGTCTATATTTTTAAAATTTAAAAATAATTCTTACACTTTTTAATAAAAAAATGTTAAATACAAATATGTTATTCAGATTAATGTAAACAACTCGTATCAACCGTATTCAGTAGTCAAATTAATTTCATAAAAAAGTTATTAAGATCTAAACTTAAATAATATATATGTTTATAAATAACATGATGTGTTCTATATAATAATAATTACATATAAATATATTATAATAGTAATAATATTAACAATAACGTAATAATACAATGGGTGAATACTTAAATTACTCATTGAAAAAGAAATAATGAGTATATTTTCGGTCCTTGGAAAATAAGTAGTCATTTTAAACCCTAATAATTATAAGTACGATATACTTTAATTATTATATGTAATGGATAGAAAGATTAAAATGTCCTACGGCACTTCATAGTGACGTTTTTTAAAAGAAAATTTTGGTTGAGTAAATTCTTTTAAGAATTAAATTTTAAAATTTACTCCAATAAAATATATAGTATAAAATATAATATTTTTAGAAGAAAAAGTAAACAGAAAAAGAAGTAGACCTATCAATTTCTTCTCCTTGACTTAGCCAAACGCTACTGAGTTTTTCTGCAAGTTGAGATGAAAAAAAAAATTGAAATTCAATTTTAAGTTTTGAATTTTCTATAATTTATTTATACATATTAATATAGATTTTTTTAAAATATTTCTTTAATTTAGTTTTGTTAACATAATATTTATTATTAATAATTAAAATATTTTATAATTATTTAACAAAGAGTGTTTAAAAACTGAATACTATTATGCTCTCGAGCTCAACTTCTACCACCACATGTTTGCCACTTTTTTCCACTTCTGAATTCCCTAATTTATGAGCATCTTCTGAATCAGAATAGCAAGGTGACGCAGTATCATGTCTTGCAGGTTGAACGGTAGCATTCTCAGGATCAAGGCTCTTTTTCTAGCAACAAGACTCAACTGCATTAAAAGTGGGATCAGAATTTGAAATTTAATATAAAATTCTTGAGCATCTCACGTGTCTAGCAAAAGATGCAACAAACTCAAGGTAGATTAAAAATCAAGGCACATCAACTTCTCAGTAACAGTATTTTCTTATTAGCAATGACAAATTCAAAGCTAAATCAAACTCGATACCAAATTAGCCTGTTATACAAATTCCTGCAAATTCTTCATTAAGAAAACTGCTACAAGTAATCGAAGTTGCCTTTCGTTTTGATCAAAATTTATTTGGTCATTGAGTGGAGTGAAGAGGAGGAACTTATTCATGTAGAGACCACAGTTGATAGAAACGAAATTAGTTCAAATTGTATAATTGCAAAATGGATAAAGTTTAAGAGTCTATTGGGATAAAACTTAAATTCAAGATATCTATTTACAAAGAACATAAAATTTTAAAATTGACTGTATGCAATACTCAAACAACAATGATACATTTCAGAAACAGATAGATATGAAGAACAAATCAACAAATCAGAATGACTGTATCAACATTTAAATGGTTTAACCAAAGGCCAAAGGGGCATAAAAAGATTTGCAAAACAGAACAAACAACTGAAGATAAAAGTCACAAGTGAAATAACAGTTTCACAATTTGTAGATAACACTAATAACAGAATAGATATGCAGAAAATAATTTGAATTTATAGTTGGGGTCAAGAGTCACAATTTAGATTGCTACATATTACTGTGTCGAAAGTGATTGTGCCAAATTACTAGGCCTAATTTAGATAAACTTATCAATAAATACTTATAGGAGTCAAAAATTAAGTAGTAAAATAAATTAAACATATGATTCTCTATTATTTAGAAGTTGTCTCATTTAACTTCTCTAAAACTTAAGAAGTATAAATTACTTTTAACTTATAAGATAAACTTTATTCATTTTTCATATTATTTTTCTTTTCCTTTAAAGATTTATCTAGAAGTTACATAAACTGGGTCTAAGTTACAAATGTGTAGCTTTGCTAGGTCATGAGCTACTCGGTTAAGATGTGCAGCTTTAATCATGCAACAAGCCTGGGTCACGGACAATGAGTAGAAACGGTAAGTTAAGAGTTGGCATTTTGTGTTTTCAGTTGATGCAAAACTGTGCATTGAAGGGGACAACCAAAACACACTCCTTTTGGACAATTTGTGGACACAATTTGATGGTAAAAACTTGTTGACTCGGTTGTGAACTCATATTTCAGTGAGTCTGAGTCTATTACCAAAGACCATAATTATTTAAATTTGTGAGGGAAATCAACATAAGAAATCAATTACAAATTTACAAATTTAAATCAATGAGCAAGAACTTGAGAGACTAGAAGCCTAAGAAAGCACCTCACAACACAGTAATGTTCAAATACAGTTTGGTCCAAAGAACAAGTATAATAGTTGAATTGACAGTAGTAGTTATTAAGCATGTCAATGAGCAGGAACTGACCTGAAGTAATGGTGCAGTTTAAGCATGAGTAAGCTTGACAATCACACCCTTCATGCAGAAACCTCCTCTTAACTCCAATCTTGTAAAGGAAGCACAACAAATAGAGCATCTTTTACATATTCTGCAACGAAAAAGTAAACAAGAACTCTATCAGTTCAATTCCTTGTTTCAGCATGAATATGTCAAAGCCAACCCTAAACTATTATATACTTGTTCCTCATTCAAATAGTTTCATTTGTTTTAGAAGTCTCAAAATCCTGCATTTACTGTAAATGTACTTTGTTGCACTTAATGAAACAAATCTACCAGATTGATCATCAACAAAACACACAAATTTCCTTCCCATATTAATATGATACAATTGTGGAAACATCATTCACAAAATGCGTTACATAAATCTCCAACAAATATATTTTAAAGTTTAAACTGGAAAGCATGTGAGAAACACCAATGCTAACTCCCAACATTGTTGGAGGAACATAAAGTCTAATAAATTTCACAAAAAAATGAATAATTGTTGAAAATAACTTGTAATTAACAAAACTGTTTTTCAAACATGTGCAAAAAAAAGAGCCCATGATAAGAACTTATATAAGAATTTTTTATTGGAAATTACATAATTCAATGCATTGAAACTATTAAATGCTACAATTTTTAATAAAAACTATTTATTGATTTTTGAGTATGTATCCTTTTGCACATGTTAGAAAAACAGTTAAGACAAAAAGAAGTATGCATATTTTTAGCATAGTATTGCATTTTAAATTGTAATCATCAAGAAATTCCAATGTTTGTGTTCAATTTGTATTTCCTAACCCAGATGTACCAAAAAAAAGTCCAAATAACACAGGAGAAGGGATTTAAATTCATTGTCATTCACCTTTGGTGAAGCCCACAATCCCTTAGGAGGTCCACTGCTTGCCCACACTGCCACCCCAATTTTTGAACACCACCAATACAAATGCATCTTGCTTTCAGCCCCTCCAATGACTTCCCTCAGTAGAAAAGATCAAAACTTTGGCCACTTTAGGCTCCACTGAAAACCAGACACTACAAACCAATTTTCTGCAAGCATAGGATGCCACTTTGAACATCTTACATATCACATCATACTCTATAGTCGAGTCTATTCAAAATTGAACTCTGTATAGGATCTCCATCATGTTAAGCTCACGTTTATAAATTTACAAGCACCTATAGTTTGCGAGTCATAGACTCTTAGGTTCTGATCCAACTGCATCCTGGCTGCTTTGTTGTCCCAAATTCTCTCATCATATCTCTCAGATTAGCAGCTTCTTCCCATTGACCTGCTGCTGCACAGATATTTGATAAAAGAACATAAACTGATGGGTTGTTATGGTCTCTTTCCAGGAGAAGTCTAGCAACAGTTCTTCCTAGCCTTAAATTACCATGAGCTGCACAAGCACTGAACAATGACCAGCAGATATCAGAATGTGTTCCAAAGCATCCACCTTTAATTAATCTCTCTGCCTCATCAAGGTATCCACTGCGACCCAGCAGATCAACTATGCAACAAAAATGATCCACACTCGGCACAATTCCATAAACTTTCACCATTGTATCAAAAATATGGGCCCCATCATCAACCAAACCTGCATGACTGCAAGCTGAAAGAACTGCAGTGAAGGTAGCCCGGTCTGGTTTGATTCCAGGTGAGATTTGCATTGCCTCCAAACAGTGCACGGCTTCTTTGCCTTGTCCATGTTGTGCATAAGCAGATATTATAGCATTCCAAGAGATTGTATCTCTTTCATCCATTGCTTTAAATACTCTCAAAGCCCTGTCTAAAGATCCACATTTGGCATACATTGTGACCAGGGCATTACCCAAAGAAACTTTTGAAGAAAACCCACGCCGTAGTATGTAGCCATGAACCTGTTTCCCATGACTCATGGCTGAAGTGCTGGAACAAATGCTCAAAACAAGACTGAGGGAATAGGCATTTGGCTTAATATGTGCACTAAATAACCTAGAGAATTGCTCTAACCCTTTCAGAGGGTATCCATTCATCAAAAAACCAGATATGATACTGTTCCAAGATATCAAATTTTTACAAGGAATATCAGAGAAGATTTGAAATGCACATGTAATCTTCCCATGTCTGCAGTATGCAGAAATTAACGCATTCAAAGCTTCAATTTTCACAAGCCCACTTTTGCATAGAAGGGAGTGGATCTTCTCCACAACTTGCAAAGAATCTGAAGCAACTAGCAAACTTCCATAAGTAAACTCATCTGGTTCAATTCCTTCCCTCCTCATTTTCAAATAACTCAACATTGCTTCTTCCACAAGATTCTCCTGCATCAACATCGAAACCATAATGTTCCACGACACAACATCCCTCTCTTCCATTCCCTCAAAAATATCTAGAACTTCATCAACCTCCCCAAATCCAGAATACATAGTCATCATTGCATTATTCACAGCAACACAACCAACAAAACCCATCTTGATAGCTTGCGCCTGTGCTTGACAACCAGCCCCTAAACATGAGCAAGAACTCATGACACACACAAAGGTAACTTCCGTTGGCCCAAAACAACCCTTTTGCATGTCTCTGAACATCAAAAACGCATCTTCACCCCTTTCCACACTTGCAAATCCATCAATCATTGCATTAAACGTAACATGATCATGCATGGCACCTTCTTCTGCTTCCCTAAACACTTCACAAGCATCCAAAACACACCCACAGTTAAAATACATAGTGATCAACGAATTAACCACAGAAGTCCAACCCAAAAAACCACTTCTGATAACCGTTGAATGCACATGCCTTCCATAATCCAAAAGCTCCAAAGAGCACAAACTCAACATGGTGGCAAAAGTGTACTTATCAGCCTTAACACCCATTCTCTGCATGTCCCTGAAACAGAAAAAATTTTAGCACATTACCCCCCCAAACTAATTGGCCCTCAACGGTATTGATGTATATAATTAGGTCCTCAAATATGTTAATTGTACTTGCATTTTCCTCCTATTTTGTTTACATTTTTGTGAGAGAAAAACTAAACACGATGACATAAACACATTTGAGAACTATATGTACGGAGCGAAACTTGTAAGAACCAAAAATACACCAGTTTGAAGGATCATACTGTACATTTACTCATTTTCAGTTAATTAAAATCATGACACACAACTAGTATTTTCACTTTTTTTAATTTTAAATTTTTCAAATAAAATTGAGAAAAAATATTTAAGCTTAAATATGATTTGAGTTCCTAAATTTTTGTGCAATTTTTTAAATCCAGTGCTTTTCTCCCAAAAAAAAAAAAAAAAACAAATTACAAAAGAGAAAAAGGACGGAAAACATAATGAAGTGCATGATTAAGTTAAGAGGTACTAAAAATTTGGTGACCTGAACAAGTTGAAAGCAAGTTGGTCATGGCCGTTAATGGTGCAGCCGCTAATAACGGCGTTCCAAACTGCGACGTGGCATTTGGGCGTTTGATGGAAAAGTTGAAGGGCGTGGTTAACGTGTGCTAGTTTGGCTGCAGCGGAGAGGAGCGTGGTCCACGAGTATGAGTCAGGGTTCGGGATTTCAGCGAAAGCGCGTTGGACGGAAGCGAGATGATGAGCCTTGGCGTAGAGAGAGAGGAGGGAGTTGGCGACGTGAGAATGGGCCTTGAGCCCAGTTCGGATGGCGTGGGCGTGAAGCTGGGTCCCGAAGCTGACGTGGCGAGAGTTGGCAGTGGCGGTTATGGCGGTGGAGAGGGTGTAGTGGTCGGGTCTGAGAGTGAGGGAGGAGTGGATTTGGGTGAAGAGTTTGAGGGATTGTGTGTGTTGGTTGGAGCGAGTGAGTTGTGCGAGCTTGTGGTTGAGGTTAATGAGGTGTTCGTTCCAAAACCATGACTTCATTTCTCATTTCTCTGCTCTGTGCTGTCCCTGCAAGAAAGTTCAAGTTTGAATTTGGAACGATGGAGCAATTCGTGAAAGGTTTTCTATTTGCTCTTCCCATGGAAGGGGGTGGTGTGTAATAAGCAAAATAGTTTCTCCTGTTGTTCGTTCTACCTCCCTTTTTTTATTTTTACAAATTTCGTTTTTTAAATTATTTCAATATGCTTTTAAAAATTATATTTTAGAAATAATTTTATATTTTTAAAATGATAATAAAAAATAAGTTTAATTAAATTTTTTAATATAAATGTGATATTTTATTAAAAAAATTTTAAAAATTAATATTTAATTTCTGTCATCATTTTTTTTATTTAAATACTAAATTGTTTGATAAAAACTCAGTTCAACACTTATACAAATTGTTTAATGTTATAATATTTTATTATTTAAAATTAATATTTATAAATAAGTCTCTAAATATATTTTATATATTTATTTTTTAATCTTTACCTATTTTTCTTTATTTTTGTCAATTACTTTACCCTCAGATAATTTAGTATTTAATATTTAATTAAAGTGTGTCTAATTAATTCATATAATATTTATAAAAAAAAAAGAAAAAATCTTATTTGTCTTTTTTTCTTTTATTTTCTCAATTTTCATTTGTTTTTTTAAGTTATCTTTTTTAAATCAATTGATTCGATCAAGTTAATTATAAAAAATTTAAATATATTTTTTTTATAAGAGCCATTATAAATTCATGAAAGAGAATATTCTGGTCACACTTTCTAGCAGATTATCCATTATTGTGAAAATAATTTTACAAAATGTTTAGAACAATGTTTTATAATAATGTGATTTTTTAGTTTGTAAACTTAAAAAAGTGTGTGTGATCTTTGGAGAAAAAGAAAGAAGACTTTAGACCTTATAGCTTTGATAAGAAGAATGAAGTATGCATGATAATAGCTCTTTGAGAAGTTCGATGAACAAGGCACTTTTGAACATATGTATTTTAAGATATTTATAGTTTTTTTTTTTTCCATAAAGTGAGGGATATGGTGTTTTTTTTTTTAGGGAAATTTGGTAATTTTTGGAAGAGTAGGAAATGGAACAAATAACTGTACAATGATAATCGATCATTTTTTATAATTTTTCAAGTAGTCAAGTGAAAGCAATAATATGAAAGCGAACTAAATAAGGAAAAATATTTATATATAGATGTAATCTTGTATAGATTATAATCATATCTAATCTTACATTTTTATCTTATGTTCAACATATATTTTTTTATAGAAACATTTATATAAAATATTTTTGGAATATGAATATGGAGAGGAATTAATGATTTTGATTGTATTAATTAGATAAAAGCTACATTACAGTGAATGAAAAAATTTAATTAGTATATCAAATTCAATTGATTAATATCATGTCAGAGTATGCTATTGTTGAAATTTTGAATGTTTATTATTTTTATTCAACTTGATCGATAATGCAAGTAAATTGGTATAAATAGGAAAAGTTATTGCTTAGATATTTGAATAATAGCTATGAAAATGCTACTTTGACAATAACCTAATGGATAATAATCATTTTTTATATATTGATATTAATAAACCATAAGATTAATATATAGTATTTTATACTTTAAATTAAGTATGGATTTGGTGGCTTTATAATTTTATATTATATGTGAATTGAATTATATATTTTTTTGTCAGTACTTCGTGAATACTTAACTAAATGTTTACGATAAAAAGTTTATTAGTCACCAAAATATCTAGCTTAGAAGAAATTAAAGTAATTATTTTAATATTTTTAGTTGTTCATGTTTATATGATGTTATTAAATAATATAAAAGCTTTAATTGCACAATTAAAATTCTTAGCTATAATGTTAGGATGTCACCTAAAAGTGAAACATTGCTTTATGATAAATAACATTAAAGAGATGTATATTCATAATTGATAAATTTATTTGTCTATCCAACAATAACATGCATGTTAACTTGAATATGGTTGATAGTTTATTAAAATATATTTATTTTATTATTATTATTGATTAAAATTGTGAATTTAAGTATTACTCAAAGGTGAACTTAAATTCATAATTAAAGTTATTGTTTGTTTAAATTTATTAAGTTTCTCAAAGTATTAATATTAATTCATCCATGCCTAAAACAAAAAATTTAAGAGAATTTATGATAAATATTAAAAAAAACAAAGTTAAATTCACTAAGTATAAATGTGAGTGAGTCATTTTTGGTACACCACATCAAAATGCTATAGCATTGTACATTTATCTTTATGGATGAATGCATTAAAGATTGATACATATCTTCTTACTAAGGTAACTGGCATAGTAATTCATAAGACTCTATGAACTATAAATAAGAGAAAAATTAATTTGAAACATCGTTATGTTTAAAATTGTCTATAAAAGTAAAAGTATGTAATTCACATAAAAATAAACTTGATGCAAGAATCATTAATAATTATTTCATTAATTTTAAAAGGTCAAAGAAATATATGTTTTTATCGTGTTAAATATAGTATGAGAATAATTAAGTTTTGTAGTGTTCATTTCATTAAGAATGAACACTTCAATGCGTGTGTGAGAGAAAGAAATCAAGAAAGGTAGATATTCAAGAGGTTTATATAGAAATTCTTATATTTAGTGTTTTTCCTCAAGTTATCATTCCTTTTATTATATCACAATTACATAACATGTCAAGAAAATAAATAATATACTATACCCACAAAATAAACAAATAAAAGGTGAATCAACTAATAATATTTAAGTCACATATGAGGAAGCATTGACTTAAGAAGATTGGTCTATAAGACAAAAAATACTAGTTATTCAAATAATTATTCAGTTTACTCACTTAAAAAAAAATGTGACTTAAGCGTTGATAAAGATCTAATCTTATTCAAGCAAATCATAAAATGTAACAATTTTAAAATATAATTTAATACTATAAAAAAAAGAGTTGAAATTAAAGAATGACAACATAATACATGATCTAATGAAGTTATCTAAAAGTTCAAAATGAGTTGATTGTAAATGAGTCTTTAAAATTAAATTTGATTAAAATGACAATATTGAAATAATTAAATTTAAATTTATTTCCACAAATTACACCAAAAAAGTTATATTGATTATGAAAAAAAATTATAGTTTATATTAAAAAAATTATTATTTCAAAAAATATTTAAAAAATTTTCATGATGACTTAAAAAGAAAAAGTTCATGTTAACTTACCCTAATGTTAACGTGCAAGTTAAAATATAGATATATGGAATAAATCAAACTTTGTAATAATAGTATCTTAAGTTAAATTATATTATTATGTCATATAATTTTATAAAAAATGTTAATATGCATATTTGCATGAAAGTCACTGAAAAGAAATTTATTATTTTATTATTATTTATTGACAACTCTTTCTTAGAGTTAACAATGTTTGTGAAATTTTTACAATTTAACATAAAAAGTAAAATAATATACAATATATAATATAATAATTAAATTTTCAATTCTTATTACTAAAAGTAATAATAAATTAAGATTTTACTAGAATTATTCTTAGAGTTTTATAGGCTAAACAAATTTAAGATATTTTTAATTAGAATATTACTTATAATTAAAATATCTAACAAAAATTACTAAACATTTGGATGTGATGGGTTGTGAAATAATATAATAAGTTGATTAAACATGGTAACATGGGTGTTATGAAAAAAAAAACTTAATTAAATACTTATTTATAAAATCTTTTTACATAAGATCTTATATTATATATTTAATTATAAAATTACTTAAAATAAGCTGGAAATATCTTATTTTTATAAGTTATATTGAATTTGAACTAAAAAAAAATCATGAGAATCATACTAAATTGGGCCAGTAATCTATATGTAGATTTGTGATTCAATTTTCATATATTAAGTCCTTAACGTGGTATTCAAAATTTTCTTATAAATTAGGTTTTTAATTCTAATATAATGCTATGTATTATGTACTACTACATATAATCAACACCCGTAATAACTTAAAGTCATCATTAATAATTGAAAATTAATAACAAATTATTTTTATAAATAATTCTAACAGATATCGTTATAAATTGGCCGTATGAGTTTTCATAATTGTTTATTTTTTCATTAAAATTTTTATATAAATTGATTGAATGTGTTATTATTTACATCAAATTACTACAAAATACATTTAAATTTTAACTTAAAATAAAAATTCTTTTGATTTCTTTACTTAAGTATAGATGGGCTGCTACAACTATTGCATTAAAAAAATGCCCCATAACTAAAAGGAAGAAATATAAACAAGATTGATGAGAGTAACCTATCACTTCTATTTTCAACACTCTAAACTTAGAACACTAACAACTCAATCTATCCTTTCTCGTATACACGGACTCTCCTTTTAATATTAGTGTTCATGCATGATAGTTTTGTAAAAAAAATAAAAAATAAACATTGATATTTTTTTTAACTCTTTTTTATTTTTTATTTTTTATTTTTTATAAATCAACTCCTATTTTCCTTCTCACTTTTTAATTTCTATCGTTGCATATTCGTTTCTTAATATTATTTATTCAGTTTATGATAATTTTTAATTTCTTCTTATTACACATACACATATCAGTATGTTTTGATGGTTTTTTCTGCAAAAATTGGCAAGAATCTAATATTTGAATATAACTACTACGCTAGCCCCAAATATTATAAGCATAATGTCTAATTTTTGTTTTTAAATTTTTATTTGTATGATCTCTCACGTTAACCTTGTGTATATGAATATATGTTAATTTTTATATTGTTTCATCATTGCATGTATGAGAAATGGTGGAAGTGTTCTCCATTACTTGAGAATTTAAATATTGTTTCAACAATTTGAACATTTTTATTATTGTGCTTATTTTTTATGTTATAATTTATGAACTTTTACTAAAGATATTTGATCTCTCTTTCAGTTAGTTTTCGTTTTATTCATGAAAAAGATGAAACAACCTATGTTTTAATAAACTTAATAAAAGAGAGATAATGACATGAGAATTAAATTAATTAAAAAATTTAATTAAACTTTATTTTTGAAGCATATCCTTGTTAAATATATAATAATCATTGTGTCCAACTAAGGGGGATAACTCACAACTTTGAACTCTGATTAAGTGCACAGTTAATCAAAAACTAAAATTGAGACTTTAAAATTTTAAGACGAGGTATAAACCTCAAGAAAATGTATTAGTATTAAATGTCAGCAGTTTTAAATACAAATGTTTAATTTTCATGTTTTCTTTGAATAAAGAACACTTATTAAAAGAGATGATAAGTTGAGATTAAGTAATTTTTTAAAATTCATTGATATTTTTATCTAACTCTTTAACGTGTTGTTTTCATATACCAAACTTTAATCTCATCATTGAAACGGAAGTGAACCTCTTACCTATTATTTTTCATTTTGAAATTAAGATAGTTCAAAATTATGATACCATGATACTTTGATTTTATGAAATATGATTTTAAAATTCTTGACACTATATTGCCTAACAATTATGAAGAAGAGTAGAATAAAGACCTCGTATTAAAAGGGATAAAAGATGACATCTATGTTTATAACAACATGCATGGCTATAGTAATACTTCAAAGCCCAATTTCTTTCACTGCTAACTTCTAAAATTTAAAACTTGTTGACGATATATTATATCAAAATATTGTAACGCATATAGGTGTTGTTATATATATATATATATAATTTGATTTTCTTAGATCGATTATTGGGTAAATTATAATAAATAATTAAATAATATATTTCTCGTAATAAGAACAATTCAAAATTTAAAAAGTAAAAAAAAAAAAAGGCATTGTAATGTTAAGCTGTCTTATATGACATAAATTTTCTTTTTAAAGAACTTTAGAATGATAGATATGAATAAAGTGTCTTATGTGATAAGAGTTAGAATATTTTATGATAGATGATAAGGAATGTTAAGATTGTCTCAAAAATATTATACCAATATAGTCTTTAAGAAATTTAGAATAAAAAATTATTTATTGGCAATAGTACCATCTTTTTAAAAAAAAACAAGTTTATTAAAATAAAATGTCTAAATTTAAAATAAAAATTAATAAAGTTTATTTTCTATATATAATTATTAGAAATTTGATGTAAGCTTTAAGTGCTCTTATCTAAATATAAGTTTTAATATAGAAATATTAGGCTATATTAAAGTAATTTTAAAATAAATTCCTAAAAAGTTTTAAAAAAGGTTTTTACGTATTTACAAAGCATCAAAGGTTCCTTGCTCATATATATAAATGATTGATTATGTTAAGTGATTAGTTACTTGAATTTAAATAATGATTAACGTATACACTCAAAAAAATTTATTTATGGATACATTTTCGTCTTAGTTGGAAGAATAATTTTGTAAAAGAATATAAAGGAATCTATATTGTTACTTTTTTATGGAAGCTAAATTTATGACACATTTTAAGGTTAGTATTCATGGATTGTGACTATAAAATTTTATCTTATGATTCAATATTGTCAACAATAAAATTAATTGTTAATTTTTTTAATGATAATTCTACATTTTTCTTTTTCAAAAGGTGCAAAACACAATGATTTCAAGTACTTATTGATCAAATAATAATTACAAAAATAGAAATTATCCATTCGTATATTGATTTGATGATAGTGAATTTGTTAAATAAATCATTATGGTTCAAAATAAATTTTGGCCATTCTAGACAATAGACTTTATGAACTAGTACTTGTTAACATGATTGTTTGATATATATATATATATATATATATATATATATATATGTGTGTGTGTGTGTGTGTGTGTGTATTATTTTACTGATATTATAAATATTTGTGAATGGAATAAAAGTTGTATTTATGTTTGTTTTGTTTACATTAGTTATTATGTACATGTATTGTTTTAGTATGATGACACATGTGACATTAAAGTTAAAGATTATAATCAACTTTAATTAAATTTTTTGAGTTGAGTTAATGATGTGATACATAAAAAGAATTATTTTAATGACTTAATTATTATGATCCAGTAATTTCAATTTAATAAGAATGATTGTTTGATAATTTTGATTTACATTGCATATTTATGGTTTATTGTTGGATTTCGAAGTTACACGTAATTGCTTGATAATTCATATAATTTATTGGATGAAAAGTATAGTTTAATGTGATAATTTTTACTTTTAAAGAATAATAGAATCATTGAGGATTTATTTGAAATTTAAAAGTATATCCCTATTATAGAAAATGTAAGTTACTTACCATTAAAAGATAAAAGGGTAACCAAAATAATATATATATATATATATATATATATATTTTATTTATTATAAACAAAATAATAAAGTAGAAATAAGGATAAAAACAAAAACTTAAAGTTGTCAAGAGACTCACAACATGAATTCAAGTAAGTCCTTTCTATATACTTTTATTGTGTCAAAATTATGAAATTAAAGATCTTTGAAAGTTTAATAATTTTTTAAATTGTGAACTAAAAGAAAAATTACATCTAACACACCATCCATATAAAAGAGGCAATGATTGTTCTTTCATCAGTCATATTATGAAGGTAAAAAAATTTGAGTGCTCTTATAAATCTAACTTAATGAATATCAAAATTGTCTAACTTAAAAAAATAGCGTGGTAAAGTTGAGAATTATGGGATAGTAAAGAATGATGGTGATGGTACTAATATTTGAGTAAAAAACTTGACTAGTCATGTATAATCTATTTTTGTATGTTGGTGAAAATGGATCTTTGAAGGATAAAAGAATTATAGGTTAGAAGAAAAGTGTGCACACTCTCTTTAAGCATGAATGTACACTTTTTTTTAGGCTTGATTTATTCTCACTAATAACTTGGATAGAAAATGAGTTTGATTTTAATGTATTTTGCATTTTCATAACTCAGGTTGTGACAACATTGATTTTTACGTAATGATAATTTTACTTGTTATATCTTGTACACTAAAAATAAGATTAATGAATTTGTGAATGCCTCAAGAAAATGAAATAAGTTTATCCATGTATTCATGTAAAGTAATATACTTTGATCAACATATTGAAATAAATCAATACAACTTTTCATTTAATGAAAAAAAAAAAAACCAACTCTTCCTATTTTTTAAAAGTTTCTCGTACATGATAAATAGATTGAAGATATTTTCATGAAGTTTGTTTACAATAATATTGTTCTTTGAGTGAATACTTTCCATTGTAGTGACATCTTAATGACAATACCAATGTTAATAAGAAATTTCTCATTATAATTATGTTGATTTCTATCAAACAATAAATGTGCCTAACCACATGTTACTATTTATGTAGAATCAAAATTACAGTACAATCATAGATTAATCCTTATGAACTCATACTCCAATTCATGATGAAAATAGAATGCAGAAGCATACATAAATTCGTCATTAGGAATGATGAAGGTTATGAGATTGATAGCGGGTATGTGATCTTCCAAATGTAAAGCACCTTAGGTTTTCTTTTAAGTTTCTCTTTTGATGGAGATAAAGAGAAAAAAAATTGAAATTATACGTGTTGTAACTTGTTCTACAAATGGGGACTATAACCCATTTATGTTGGTAACTGTCATCAGTTACCCCAAATTTGATAATTATAATTTGACACTTCATCAAATTATAATATCACTAATGGTGTCTACACAATTAGCCTTTCATGACATATATGCCCTTAGTCATTCACTTTAATTTTTGACTAATAAAATAATGACCCTAACACATTTAATTATAATATATATATATGACCTAAAATTGCTAACAAATTAGAGGTCATATAACTCCAAAGCAATAATAAGAAAAGTAAATAAAGATTAAATTATTTTTTTTTGGCTATTAAGAGGGGTGAGACCCTTTTTAGGGGTCCAAAAACTTATAAGGTCCATATTCAACAAAGGTCCAAATATCAAAAGGAGTCATGTCAAAACAAATAAAAGGAAGACACGTCTCAAAGCTTAATTTAGCAAATATATTGACACTTTGATTAGCCTTTGTACGAACATTACTAAATTTAACAAATTTAACACTTTTAAGTAAAAGTCTAGTATTCTGGAAAAAAAAATAAAAATGATGGGTGCAATTTTGAATTGCTAAAACTAAAGACATAACTTCTTTTAAGTCACTTTTAATCCAAATGAGATGCATGTCTTTCTCAATAATTAACTATACCCTACGATAAATGACCCATAGCTCGGCCACAATAGGAGAACAAACTTCCAGATTGCTAAAGAAGTTAACAACCAATTGGCTTTATGATCCTAAATGAGACCTCCACATCCAACTCTATTGTAATAGTATGAAGTAGAACCATCAACATTTAACTTTAATTGCGAGGGAGAAGAGTTCATCTAATCTAGCAAAGGTCATGACAATGTTAACCATAGCAAAAAATTTACCCTTGTTATTTTCTAGATTAAATTTCTTTTTTATATTTATTACTCTACCATTAAATATATTTGTAATTTTGTAGTGATTCTAAAAATTTTGTAACAACTTTTTAGAAATGAAACAATTATGTACTCGTATTTCACTTGTTATGTTTTTAAAAAACTATCAAATGTAACTAATTTTATAAATAACAAATCCTATTAATTTTAAGTTAAGGAATAATTTATATAAAAGAAATAAACTATATCTAAAAATTATAATATATATTATGTTAAGAAATACTTAAATATTTTTTTCAAAATTACAAGTTTTTTTTATAAAAAGATAATTTTACTTAAATTGAAATTTATACATCAAGACGTGATTAGTTCTCCTAGTAAAAAAAAAAAAAAACTTAAAAAAATTATCTATCTATTAGAAGAATTAGCTATTAAGATATCATGACAAAGGATTAACATATATTAAAATATATTAGAAGGTGTAGTAATAAAATTTGAAATTAGGATCGAAGAAAGTGAAGATGTCTTAAAATTAGGATTTAGAAAAAGAGTTATACATATCGCAAGTTAAAGAATAAATCTAAAGATATTATTAGAATTCAGAGATAGAATTAAAAGAAGTAAGATTAAGAGCAAGATTAATTTTATTTTGTATATTATTCGCATAAGTAAAAAGTATGAACAAATAGATAGAAAATATATTGTAGTAATGTTAAATTGATATTGATAAAATATTTTAAAAAATTTATAATTAATTTTATTGTATAAAATTTGAATAATATTAATTATATTGTATAAAATTTGAATAATATTAATTATATTAGTTTATAATGAAACATTACTGAATTTTTTCGGTGATATATTATTAGTAAAGTAATCATATACAAAAATAATATTGATTATATATATATATTCAATTAAAATTTAATAAATACATTATTTTATTATTTTTCTGTATTTTTTAGTTAAATTTTTATGTGAAAATTATATAATAAAATAAAAATAACTTTAAATTAATTTTAAAAACTAATGAACTTATGCAATATTAAAATAACAAGATGCATTCGCTAAAAATTAATAAGACATAATTTTGAAATTTAAATTATTAAAATATTTAATTACTATAGGTTTATAAATATATAGCTATATAAATATTAATAAAAAAAATCATAAATGAAATCATACATATACGCACATAAATTTATCTTTTATTCATAAATGAAATCATACATAAACTTAAATTAATTTTTAAAATAAAATCTAAAATATAATCCCATAAAAATTTAATCTTTTAAAAAATTTCAATTAAAATAAAATGGATTTATGAATAAATTTATGAGGACGTGGAGAAAGCATGCTGATGGCAAAATTGCAATTATGGGGTAGTGGAGGGGCAGTTTGCGAAGAGCCACCGATTCGGTGAAAAAAATAAAATCATTAGTTAGAGATACAATGCCACATTTTGTGCATGACGCGACACTGTACCCAACCCAACGCATTCTCTTCTCTCTCATCTCTCTCTCTCTCTCTCTCTCTCTCTCTCTCTCTGGGCGTCTAATGTTGTACTTTCGTGTTTCCTTCACTTCTTCCATTACCATTATTATATTATTATCACTGTTCTTTCCTCCGTTATAAAGGTCACCATTATTTCCGTTTTTTTTTTCTCTTCTTCTTTTTTTCTTTACTAATTTCTTTTCTGACATTTTCCAAATTTACCTTCTTTCAGCAATTGCTCGATCACACTGCCAGAACCCGTGAAACCAAGAACATAGGTCAGAAAATTGTTCAGTGCGTTCTTGTTTTTGATTCTTTTTTTTTTTTTAATTTTCATTTCTTGTCTTTTTGGTGGGGTTGTTGTTGATTGCAGATGATGGGGTGTTGAAAGTTTGAGTTTTTTGGGGGGTGGCTTATGGGTTTACTGGGTTTGTTTAAATGGTATAATTATTGGTGAATATTTACTCATGGGGGGTTGTTGGGTTTTGTTTGCAATATTTAATTGTTATTGTAATGAGTGTTAGTTAATGTGTTGATCGGAATTTGGAACTCAGTCTTCAATGTTCTTGTAGATTTATAGGGTTCTTGGTGTTTCTTGCTTGTTTCTAATTGAAGATAATAATGTCTTCTTTGTAAAAAAGAGAAGGATAGTGACCAAACGAGAATAAATACTGCTAGTTCCTCTTCTGTCATATTTGAGATTGACGAGAATTACTGACATGATGTCTACATTGTGAAGGGCTTGGAATTGAATATTGTTCTTGACTGTTGTAACCCTTGTGTTTATTTGGTATCTCGATGCTAGTGTCTAAGTACTTGCAATTGCAATTTCTCTATACTAGTTTTGCTAATTCAGATGCAAATTTTTGTAGCTATTTATCTTTCTTTTTTTTTTTTTGTAAAGAAACAGGTTTTCCTTTGGGTATGTATTTTCTAGTGTGGCTGAGGTGCTATGCTTGCAGGTGGTCATAAAATAATGGAGTCTCATGACGAAACGGGATGCCAGGCTCCTGAACGTCCCATACTTTGTATTAATAACTGTGGCTTCTTTGGAAGAGCTGCAACTATGAATATGTGTTCCAAATGTTACAAGGACATGCTGTTGAAGCAGGAACAAGACAAACTTGCAGCAGCGTCGGTGGAAAACATCGTGAATGGCAATTCTAGCTGCAATGGGAAACAGGCTGTGACTGCTGGTTCTGTGGATGTACAAGTTGGAAATGTGGAGGCAAAAATAGGCTGTGCTGAGATTTCTGGGGATTCATCATCTTCTAGTGAGAATTTGGAGATGAAAGCTAAGACAGGTCCCAACAGATGTGCTACTTGCCAAAAGCGTGTTGGATTAACTGGTTTTGGCTGCAAATGTGGAAACCTATTTTGTGCAATGCACCGCTATTCTGACAAACATGATTGCCCCTTTGATTATCAGACTGTTGGTCGAGATGCTATAGCTAAAGCCAACCCTGTAATTAAGGCTGATAAGCTCGACAAAATCTAGGGATGTAGTAGACATATGAAGCTAAATGTCTCACCTTTTGTCAGCAAATTCATATATATTGGCTGTCTGGCTTTTGAAGTGTATTAAATTGATCCATGTCATGATAGCAAGCACATGTTTAGGGAATACTTGCATTCCTTGTTGATTGGTGAGGATTCACTTGTTAGCTACAGTAGAATGTTTATGCTTGTTTGATGGACATCTTTGGCTTATTTGTAATTTGATTTGCTGGTTGGTACGCATTTTTTTTTCTCATTGAATTAATGATATTTCCTCCCTAGTTTGTATGTGCTTTTGCTTTTTATATTATTTATAATGATGTTGCTAAGAACTGGTAATACTGAATATAGATAGAACTCAAGCAGGAAATCAAATTAACAGGAGAAATACTGCTCAACAAACTGGAACAAAAGAAAGGAAACTTGTGCATGAGGCTCCCACTAACTGGGGTCTGGGGAGGGTGGATGTATGCATCCTTACCCGCGGAAGTGGAGAGGCTATTTCCAAGATTTAAACTAATGATAGGTCACAAGGTAGCAAGTAGCAGCCTTATCCTTGTGCCAAGGTTTACCCTCAGATACTGAAACAGAAGAAATGCAGGAATAGGAAATAACAATCAGAGCTGTGATACAATTACACAGACTCTATGCCCTCGACCTAATCAACCGAATCACTCTAAAATTCTGTTTTCCTCTCCACTGTTCTCCACCCCCTCTTTATTTGCATTTCCTTCCCTCCCATTATTGCACATATGTTTTCTACTTTCTTGCTATCACATGAACTTTTTGTTATTCTTTCCCATCACTCTTTCCTCCTTGCACCTAGCACCATTTCATCTCTCTTCTCATATTTACATGTAATTTTCCTTGGCCCAACACGCTCCCATCCTACTCTTTCTTTTTCTTTTATACATGTGTCAATGGCCATCAAACATTTATTTAGCTTTTTATACATAAATATGTGCAATCTCAATCTGTAAGTTTGAAGCTATTTGTTGGACTATGTTCCTATGTACTCCCCAATTCAGTGTTTTTATCATATTATTAGCATCTCAACCTAAAATTTAGTTATGTTACATTCAGCAAGTGATTTTAGTTTTTCCTTTTCCCTTTTTGGGCTATGGGGAGGCCATGAAGGCCAAAGAACAGAAAGTAAAACAAGAAAACAAAACTGTGCAGCAGCACTAGCTCCTCTGGGAATAGTAGTCCCTGTTACCTAAGTTAAAGAGGGGCACGCAGCTAGCCAATCCTTCAAACCTATCATATGTTTCAATCATGGAATTAGCCGTGTCATGGTGAAGAAGCAATAGTTGTGTTAGACAACAATTATCTTCTATGACTTCATTATGTAATTTGAATATTCATTACATAGTGTGCTTCAGTGCCTCTACATGATTATGTTCATTTAAATTTTTCATGTGTAAATTCTTTTTGTCCGTGGTGGGTGATCCTTAATTCATTATTGCCCTTGGTGGATTAATCTTTTTCACTCTGTGATAAGGTTCATGATAGAAAGCTCCGTCTAGTTAGTGAGTATGGTTGCATTTACAATTATGGCTTAAAATGATGGTTTGGTACAGAAAATTGGTGAAACCATTGTGTATGTTATTGATGGCGGTATGTGAACAAAGAGTATTAGACAAGCTGAAGTAGGGATGTTCATTGGTGTTTGTGATCATTCTTGGTTGTTTAGTGAGTTTCTCTATAGTTGTATTCATTATGGGGGTCCCTCCAATGTCTTCAAACTCGCAAGGTGCATAATTTACTTGCCGATGTCTAACGTATTTTTGGATAATTTCTCAAACATTATTTCTGATTGGTCAATTTGGTGCAAACCAAGACCACTTGGGACATAAGGTGTTGTAGGCCAGGGGTTCAGTGTTGTTCTTGTAATGAAATTTTCTTTTAGCCTTTATCAATGTTATTCTGGGTTTTGACCGATAGGAATAACTTTTTATTATTGGATGGTGTATTTTGTTCTTGTGGCTAGTAGCTAATTGACTGTCTGTGGAGGCTTTGCCCTTTAGTATCAAATTTCAGTACTCAAGCATACCAAACTTTTTCAAGGTGGCTTTTCTTTTTGTGTTATAAGTTTCTGATGTCTAATTTTGTTTGTAATATACTGTCAGAAACTACTCTGGTGCTATTTCTGGACTGTAATGTTGGGAAATGGAATCTAATTAGCCTGTTTATATTTGTAATTCTGAAGTTTTCTTTGGGAATTGTCTTGTAATCAAGGTTGCCCTTATCCTTGCAGTAGTACAGAAGATGCTTTTAGCATTCATCCGTTTTTTGTGTCATGATTTTTGGGTTTCCATCACGTTCAGTGTTCCTGTTTCTGAAACAATAATAGTGAGGGAGAGATATGATTCCTTACCTTATTTTGGCACTACTATTTTTATTAATTTTGTTCCAAAGATTGATTATTAAAGTTACTTAATTTTTACTTATTACTTTATATAAATTTTTTTTTTGTAAATACTTACTTTTACAATTATAAAAATTATCTTACTTTTTTCTTTATTTTTTAATTTAAAATTTACTTTTACGAGTTTCATTTCTTACATTTATGATTATAAATATATATTAATTATTTATATTTAATTTAAAAATTTTTACACTACAATAAAAAGTATTATTTTAAAGAATTATATTTTAAAATTATTTAATTTTATTAAATATTTATCATTTTGATACATAGTTGAGAAAAATTTATTAAAAATAAAAAAGGTATAAGAGAAAAAATTAATTTAAGAGTAAAAAAAGTAAGATTTATGTGATTTTTGTAGTTTTTAATAAATTTTATCCAATAATAAAGATGTGTTAGAGAGTATGTTGTTGCTGACATTACTCTTTATAGTTATAGAGTTGAAGTTAAAATAATTTTTTAAAAAATTATTGTTTAAAATAATATTTTTTATATACAATTATTTATTATATAATAAAATACTTGTTTGTAGTATTAAACTAGTTATAATAAATATGCGTGTCTTTTAAATATTATTATTTTTAAATATTTAAACTTAAGAAGATAATTTTTTATTCAAAGTCAATTTTTTATCGCCACAACAATAATAATATAATAATGGTGAATATGATAACAACTAAAGTTTGTGTGTAAATGGAAAAAAAAGAAGATTGGAATTTCATTGAAGTTTCTGTTATTGATTTGACTCATAATCCAAACTTGGTAAGATTCGAGCGGTGGTTTTCATGGGGTAAAACATGGTTCTTTGGTGGGCCTTCATGGTTTGGCCCATTTAAATGTTTTGATGTGTGTCACATATGCTTTTGGAGCCTCTTCCTAATGGCATTTGGAAACGACAAGGGCTAATAAATATGAGTCTCTGTTAAAACCCTTTCATTAGTTCCAACACTGAATGTAGAATCTTGTGAGATTTCAAGTTTCTATACAATGGATTTTCGGGAGATTTCGTATTGCATTAGGGTCATTGCCAAAGATTAAGCTCAATGGCAGACCTATAATATTTTAATTGGGGAGCCTAAATACATAAGATACCATTAAAGAAACAGATTTGTTTTTTTCTTTTATTATCGTAAAGCATGTAGTGGCACAGTTAGATCATTTTGATTGGAGAGACCAAATACATAAAATACCATTAAAAAATAAACTTATTTTTGTCTTTTATTATTTTAAAGTTTTATATGTTAGACAATAATCACCTTATATATTTAGAACTTGAAGAATCATTTTATACGCAAGACAACATGAATAGGGCAGCATATAGGTAATTTAATATATAGGGTGTTAGTAAAGAAAAAGGGTAAATTAAACTTTGAAATTTTATAGACGCCTATAAATCATAAGTTTTAACATAATGACGTTTTTTCTTTCTGCATAATAATTTTAATCAGACCAATATTAATGCAACCATAAAATCATTATTTGAACTCAAAAGTTATGTACAGTAGATCTAATTAAGTTTTTTCCTGATATAAATTTATTATTAATAATATTGTATTGTAAAATTTTTTAAAAAGCATAACCTATATAAATAGTAAGAGATGTATCAAATGAGATAGTAAAATTAGATAATTTTTGATAAATTTTTTACCTTACATATATAAAAGTTTATACGTACAATAAATGGAGTAGAGAAAATTGGGGGGCCTTGGCCCCCTTGAGTTTAACGCAACTCCATCGTCGTTTCCTTTATCAAGTGTGTTCATCTAAAAATTCTTAGCATCTCACAATGGTTTCTACAGTGAACTTCCTCAAAACTTTTTTGATCACCCCAATGATGAGCATTGTGAATCCCTTTCACAACTATCTATCTTTTCAAATCCCAAAGCTGAAGAAAAGAAAATTTGTTTCATCGTCTTTGTCTCACAACAGTCGAACTGGAGAAATCTTACTATCCCTTGTGGAGCTACCAGTGCTAACCTACCTTGATCTTTTAGATAACAACCTCACTAGTTTTGGAAGGAAACCTTGCTCTTTCTGCTCTATGATTATCCTCTTCCGCTTCTGATAACCCCACAAGATACCATTCTGACAGGTGTCTTAATTGATCTTTGCATCGTTTGTTGTTGTAATTGCCATTGTTTCGGGTGGATTTTTCTTGTATAGAAGGTCTTGCTACCCTAATCAATTTCTTAGGGTAAACAAGAATAGTGCAAGGATAAATTAAAATAAATAAATAATAATAAATTTAATATAATAAAATTAGATCTTATAATGCATATGTTTTAATTACTATAACAAAAAGGAACATAAAATATAAAGGAATAGTTATAATATTATTGTCTTTTCCGCTCTACATAAAAGACAACATTTTTTCAATGAGACTTGCTTCAATTTAAATATAATAACTTATAGTACTAAAGAGTAACAAAAATAATACTCAAAACTCAAATATTTCTTTTTCACTATTAATATTTATTCACATTTTTTTTCAGCTTTCAAACTTTCACTTTACACTGGAAGCTTTGTGTTTATTCTTTCTCCTTCATCCATTAATGTCTTTATCTATAGAGATAAAAAGTAATGTAACTTCATAAAAGATAGTGTGACACACTACGTTTTCAATTTGATATACTTATTTGCACAAAAATGATATGTTACCACCCAAAATTTGGGTGTTAAATAGGTGGGGAAATAAGAAAGAAAAAAGAAAAAAGAAAGATATTAAAAGATATGATAAATAATGCGATAGAACAAAACAGCAGAATAGATGAAACGAGGATGAAGAGTAGATGTAAAAGAAAAAGTAAGAATAAAAGTACAAGTGTTATTA